AAGAGCAGTCTCAAGGAAAAGGTTGGTATGTTTCTGGACTGAAAGATATGATACATCGAAATTCACTTGAGACTTGAAGTTGCAACCATCTTCATTGAGGTATGCATATTTATTTCTCTTTGCATATTAGTTTGAAAGTTGTACAGTCTTTTGCTGTTAAGTCTTATAGGGATATTATTAGCAAATTCTCTCAAAGATGAGATATTTATATCTGTTCATTAGGATATGACGCCTTTATAAATATATTTACGGCCTACTATGCTGGTTGCATTTCACAGACTGAATCATTATTTAATGGAATGTCTTTGTTCATTTCTTGTTTCAGTTGTTTAATTTTCTCTTACAATTAAGCATAAGAGAGGTTTAAAAAGGATTTCTTTCAAGCAGAAGAGACATTAATCAGTTTGTTGTTAAGAGAATTTCTTTCGACCTGAGAAGGGCTTAAATAATGTAAAATTATATGATCAGGCACTTCACTGTGCATTATTACGTTGTTCCTATACTATCTCATTTCGAGTACTGAAATAAACATATAATTGCATTCTGCTTCATTGATAATCAGATTTTCATATTGAGGAATAAGTTCCTTGTATATCTTTCAGGACAGCTGAAAATTCTGGTAATTTCTGAACTTTTTATAGGTCATGCTTCATTAGATATCCCTCTTCGCCAATTACGGTATTCAGAAGATTCTAACTTTAATATTCAGTAAAAATGACAGAGGAGTTTCCAATTATAAGTAGAGGAATAGAACTTGGAAAGTTTGCAGTAATAAGGGAACAGAGGAAAAGCGAAGTTAGTAGGACTAGTAGTTTCTTGAATCTAGAGTTCGCACACATGATTGACGGTGATTCTCTCCTTGGGATCTTGACATCTTATGATGCATAACAACTGTCAATGGAGTATTGCAAATCATCATTTTGGTTTTAAGGTTTGTGCTAATTGAGTTTATGGGACATTGAGATAAATCCATTATGTTGTATCATAGTTTAGGCCCATTTAGTAGGGCTTCTGTTTTTGTTTCTATTTCTTGTAGAAGTGCTTTCTGAAGAAGCTACCTTAGGCCAGCTTCTTCAAAAAGCTCTTCTAGTCTAGCTAGACGAAACGCTTCCAGAAAAATATTGAAACATATTAAAAAGTAGTTTTTTAGTTTGAGAAGCAATTTTCGACTTTTCAAAAGCCATGCCAAACATGCCCTTATTCTTTTACCATTTAAATGGGAAAGAAATATGGAAAGGAAGTCTTTTGCCATTCAAATTGCAAAGAAATAAGAAAAGGAAGAAATAGTAAAATTTAACCTGTCTTTTTATGTGCTTGCGTCTATTACAAGTGATTATTCTCATTCAGTGTCTTCAAATAAAC